GTTGCCCGATGGGATGGCTCCACCAAAGTCAGTAGCACTGGATCATGACCTCAAGTCCAATGGCCGAGGCACTCTCCTGGCTCAGACCGATCCATGAGAGGCGCCGCTTACGTGCTAAAGGGGGACAACCATAATGCAAGGCACCATGCGCCGATGTGAAGGGACCTGTGTGCCATGAAGATAGGCAACCGCTTGGGTCGGAACACACCTGTGCGCTAGGGGCAATGGGATAGCTCTATCAGCTTGGGCAAGGGGCTGGCGAGGTGAAGGGTCATGCTTGAGCCAGGCCCACCTGCCAAGCCTCTCTTGAGTGTCGGCAGCACAGTGCCGGTCCAACACTGTCCCCATGAGCATGTGTGCGCCCATGAGGAACCCTGGTAGCCATGCTAGCCATTAACCAGGGCCGCCCCGCAAGGGGATGAAGGTCTGGGAGTGCCAAGGTTAGGCACCTAAGGAGGTCGACCACCCCTCCTCAAAGAGTACATTAAGCTTTTGGTGGTCTGCCTGAAGATGACATCAGTTCTCCCAAAAATCTTACAGGCGAAAATGACGGTGGTGTCCCTAACGTAAGCCTGCCAAGCATAGGCCAGGCTAAGCCTGTGTTGAACCGTAACATCAGGGCGTTTTGGGGGTGCCTCCTCCAGGCGTACACCTCGCACACCTTTTAAAACACTGTTGCAGAAAGCAAAAGTGTTGAACATGGTTGGTTATTGAAGGGAACATTTGTACTTGGCTCAATTGTAATCTGATTTTAAGTCTTTGTGAGGGGTAGCACCTCTCCAAAGGTTGATATTTTGATGAACTATTAATAAAATTTTAAGTTATTTATCAAAAAATCAACTTAACTGCTGGTGGTGTGGTCCAGTTGGATATCCCTCTACTCCTTGTTGAAAAGATGGGACAATGTGGTTCCAATACTTGAAAAGGTTTTCACATGAGAAAGGCATGAATGCTTGCAAAGTTTTTACCCAATGCATTGATGGAGATGTTTTCAATCAGTGCTTCTTTACTCTTTAGTGAGACATTTTTCTTGAAATATTCTTAAGCTTCTTTTTTTCCAAATTGTCCAAACTCCAAAGCACTACTTCCCTAGTACATCTCCACAAAGGAGGAGGTCTTGAAAGTTTCTCTCAACTCCAACTGGGAGGGGGGGGGGGGTTCACTTACAAGTTTCAGCCAAAAAGAGAAAAGCACTCACAAATCCCTGACCAAACCATCTTAGTTTACCTTAAATTCTTTAGCCTACTAAAAAGTTTCATCTTTTTTGAGTTGCATTTGTGTAGATGTTCAAGACTGCTATTCAGTCTTGACCACTAAGAGATTTCAGGTTCGATGAGAAGAGAGTGAAGAAGAAGAAGAAGAAGAAGAAGAAGAAGAAGAAAGAGTGGTGAAAGAGCAGTAGAACACAGATTTTGAGGAGAAGAACAGAATGTCAATATTCTGCCGCCGCCACTTTAAGTTAATATATATATGTTATGCTAGTTACATGAAAGGACATATCTGCCCTTGGTGTTTACATCATAACTGTTAACAAATAACAAACAATATAAAACTGAAACTAGAAATAACAGAATAGCAAAATGACCAAAGCTGTGACTAGATACATTCTACCCTACGGACAGAGTGGGACCACTGCTGTGGGGCCCACATCAATGTTCTCTACAATTTGTTCTCTCTCTCTCTCTCAATGTTTGGAGATAAAAGTTCTTATCGACTGAACACAAACTGATCTGAACTCCTTGATTGACACACACTGAACTTTCAAACTGATTGAAAGTAACAGAAAGGCAAATGCATGTGTGCTACTACCATCTATTGTTTGCTTGTTTTCATCATTCAACCTCTGGTATTTGTTGGAACTTTTCCTCTCATTCATTTGTTTGTCCATTTATTCTAGTGGTTGATGTTGGATGGGGCCCACCTGTTTTCTGCAGTCTTATTTTTCCATTTTTTGCTTCAACTTTTTTAGGCTTAGTTGCAGCAAGTATTTTGTTTTTGTGTTTATAATATCAATACAAGAGTGGCTAAGTTTTTGCTTTTCTCTTTAACTGGTTCCATGGTTTCCATTTGTATGCAGCTATCCAAGGTTCATCTACTGTATTTCACATGGATGCTATTGATTCATCTTTGAATAATTTTTATATTCAGTACACGCTCATAGTTCAAGGTAAACTTCATTGATGCAAAACATAATGTTATTGAGGATTTCTTAATGCTAAAGCCCTTTAAAGGAACCAATAATTACCGAACACTTTGCATTCAGGCACCAAAAATGTAATTAGTGCTTGCCGTGATTGCGAGGTCAAAAGACTTCTGTACAATAGTTCTGCCGATGTGGTTTCTGATGGTGTTCATGATATATATAATGGAGATGAGTCCTTGCCAATGCCTTGGAGAGTATGTCTCTTTCTCTACTGAAGGGAATTTTTCTTCATTGTTTTTGTTCAACTGTATTTTTTTGTTTGAATTGAATTTTCATGAAACATCAATGATGTTGCTAATTCTGTGATTTGTACACTCCGGTACAGTTTAAGGATATGTTGAGTGATTTAAAAGCTCAAGCAGAAGGAATGGTCTTATTTTCAAACGGTTGTGATGGGCTTTTAACATGTGCACTGCGGCCAAGCAATGCTTTTGGACCTGGAGATAAATTCCTTATACCATTTCTCTTGACAGGAGCAAAATTAGGCTGGACGAAGGTTTTCTATTTATATTCTAATAGTTTACTTATATACATGGTTTTTCACAAATCAAGGAAAGAATAGTTAGCATGTTTCATGGATTGTCATCATCCTTACTAGTGCATTAGTGGCCCAATTCTTGTTTTTTTTCATGTGATCAAAAGGATTTTGGCCATCTGAATTTTGCAATAATTCTTCATACTTCTGGACCAGAAGCTAGACTAGTGTCAATCCTTCCCCAGTACACCTGCCCCAACAGAGGTTTTGGTTCTTGAACCAATAATGTGAAATGGTGGTTATGATACATCTAGATTGATGACGAGTTTTCCATATGATATGACCAGTGTAACCATATTTCGAGAAGCTAAAAGAGGTCACTTTATTGGTTCACTAGAAACAAGAACATCGAATATATTGTGGATTCTTTGAAACATATTTTTGATTTCGAAAAAAATACAAAGCTGAGATAGAGGATTATTATGTTTCACTGCATTGATCTGAATCTTGTTTTACTAGAGCTTTATTCCTTATGAGGTTTGCATGCTTAATTGCAGATCAATAGAAGATAAATTTTATTGAGAGAGATTTTGAAATATCATATTTGATCAATGATCGAAAAGACCCTGTTGATTACCTAGACAATGGAAGAAAGCTTGTGTATTAATAAAATGGACCATGTATTAATATTAACTACTAGTTTATATAAGTTTGGCATAGGATTTATAGAGGAAAATATTCAATATAAAATGGACCAATCTTGTCCATTCATTTAATATAAATATTTCTTTCCTAGGTTGGATCCGGACTAATTGACCAACCAAATAGACTTTCTCATTGTTGTTTCTCTCTTTCAAAACTCTCACTTCTGAACTACCATTTGATATGGAGGCCAAGAGTAGTGGATACATAATTACACAAATGGAATTCATTTTGGCTACTGGTGCAGAAGTTTCTTGGTAATCAATTCTATAAGTCTATGTATACCAATGTTGTAAGACTTGAACCAGATCGGAAGATCAAAAACAATCTCCTTGTGCTTGGTTTGACCAGTTCAGGACAATTTTATGAAGGGTGGGATTTACTCAATCCTAGTCTAATTATACACTCTTTGTTAAGAGGAAGGAGGAGGTGATCAAGATCGTTATTATCTATGTGGATGACATTGTTGTATAGGCAAGGACTTACTTGAGATGGCTAGTTTGAAGCAGTTCTTTGGAATACAATTTGAAATAAAATATCTTGGTCAGTTGAGATATTTTCTTGGGATAGAGGTGACATGTTCTAAACATGGCATTTACATTTCTTAGAGTAAGTACATGTGCCCGTTTGGGAGGGCTTTCACATAGTAGCTTATTACATGAGTTGAGAAAATTGGAATGTCATTAAGCTGTGTTTGGTAAAAAACTAGAAAGCTGAAAAAAGGTTTACATGAGCCATAAAATTTGCTTTCCAATGGAGCTATCTTATGTAGCTTCTCTGAAGCAGTTTAGTCAACAGAGGTCAATCAATGCAGAAGCCCTCCCAAAAGAGCTCAATGATAGATCTCCTTAGAAATATAGGGAAATTATTTTGCTATCTCTGCTTTGGGTGGAACTTGGGTTTAAGAAGAGCTTTTAGAGACATAGAGTTGGATAGTATTATGACACTCTTGGGCATCCTTGATGGGATTTGCCTAGACCTCTCATAGTTAGATACTAGAATTTGGACCCCATCTCCCTTAGGATCCTTCACTAATTCACTTGTGCCTCCTTTTTTAAGACACTTATGATGAAATATGTACTTTATGTCGTAGAAGGGCATTTTTGTCTTTTCCTCTTTTTTTTTTATTTTGTCTTGATTGCCCTAACATATAAATAACAATGCTGGCTTCTTTTTCTACTTGCTAAAACATGGTATCAGGGCAGGTTGGTGCTCTGTAAAATCTCCTCAACTACATCGGCTGATTGTTCTATAATTTTTGGACCGAGAACAAAGGAAGCATACTGATGTTCTGGACTTGAGAACTGTTCGGTTGCATCTCCTTCGTCTGTTCTGGGCTAAAAACTCGACTAAAGTGATTCCAAAAGTTGTTGATGATAGGCTGAACTTCCTAAGAGGTTGGCTGTTCTTTTTTTTCTTCTCTGTTGTTCCCTACTTTGTTACTGGAAAACCTAGAATTCTCCCGGACTGATCAAGGACACTTCGATTTTTTTTTTTTGGTTCTTGGTGCTGATACCAAGAACAGGTTAAGGTTTTTCTTTGCCCTGACCAAATGATATAAGGTGGGTTTAATCCCTTTATGGGTCGGATGATCCAGAAAACCCTTTTTTCTTGTGAAGAAATCTGTAGGTCATGAGTGACCTAGTTCGGCTGACTGGTACAACAGCTTTTTGCTGATGTTTGTGGCTAATGTTAGCCTTGGGGGATCTGTTACTCCTGTGAGAATGTTCAAGTGACCAGCATCACAGCAGAAGTTGGTTTTTTTATTGTTAGTTACTCAGGGTGAGGGTTGTGTCTTCTCTTGTGGGTGTGTAGTGGTGAAGAGTCTGCAACTTTGGGAACCGCCATGAATCACAGTGGAATGAGTAGTGGTCATGACTCCATGAACTTCCCAATGACTATCACCTCGTTGGATGGTAGAAATTACCTAGCTTGGTCTAAGGAGATGCGGCTATATATCACAGCCAGGTGAAAGGCAGGGTATATTAATGGGACCAAGAAAATTGCATGATTATGTCCTGGCTTTTGATATTCATGTTACCATCTGTCAAACAGAATTTTATGTGGGCCGAGACAGCAAAAGAAATATGGGACCAGGCACAAGCAACTTACTCAGAGCAGAGGCATTATGCTAGAATCTACCAGCTACAAGCAGAATATTCGACATGTAAGCAGGGAGAAAGGAACCTATCGGCATATTATTCTGCTCTCACTTCAGTTTGGAAAGAACTTGACCATTACTAGAACATTGAGCGGGAAAGTGAAAAGGATGCTAAAGCATATAAAATGTTAGTTTCACAACAAAGGGTGTTCGCTTTCTTTCTGGGTTTGAATCCCGTGTATGAATCTTTCGTCGGTGTTCAGATTTTGGGCAGCAAGGATCTTTCGTCTGTCCAAGAGGTTTATGCACTTGTTTAGTCTGAAGAGAGTAGGAAGTCTGCCATGAATCTTCCTGAGGGGGAGACTTTTGCTCTTGCTGTAAGGGGAAACACTAGGGCACCGAGAAAAGGGGAAAATCAGAAAAAGACAGATGATAAAGACAAAATGTGGTGTACTTGTAGAGAAGATGGGCCGAATGGCCCATAGGCTATTTATCTTTTTTTTTTATCTTTTATGTTCTTTGCTGTAATGGGCCTTAATCTGGGCTTTATTCTTTCTTATGTTATGTTTTTTAATTTTCTGCCCAACTAGGGGCCTCTCTTTAAATTATTAAAGTTTAACTTAATGAAATAGAATTAAGGGAGTAAGAGAGGAGGTTATGTTCGAAAATCTCTCTCTGAACCCTAGTTGCCGCCACCTTCTTCTTCTTCTTCTCTCTTGAAACCTGATTTCTGCTACTTTCTTTAAACAGTCCTTTCTTTTCAAAAGGTTGTTTTTCTTCTTGGGCACCCTAGGGTTTTCTAAGGATGAAAAGAATGAGTGGAGAGGCACCCTAGGGTTTTCTAAGGAGAGGGGAGTATGCTAATACAGTAGGAGGGGTGTCATTTTTGGTTTAGCAGATAGGAGGCGCCCTCCTGTGCTCAGTTTTTCACAAAACACCCCATCTCTCAATTGGACTTCACACCAGCTTCCCAAAAACTGCATTTCAGCCTTGAAACTCCCCAGTTTTCTCCAAGATTTGCATAGAGACCCTCAGAGGTCACAATATTGAATTTAATTGGGAAAAGGGCACACTTTGACTATTCTAAGGCTGAAAATGCCCTTGAAATGATGCCCTTAAGGCATCAAAATACAGAGTTATCACACCCCCCAACTTAACCATTGCTAGTCCCTTAGCAATGCAGCGTTAAAATTACACCGAGTAAAGAGATCATTCCCATTGCAAGATCATCCCTTACAAAATTAGCCAAGTATCCTGATTCCAGAATTCTTGAACTTTTTGTATAGATCGATATTGGGCTTAGGGGGTAAAACTGTCCTACTTTGAATATCGTAGAAACTTAGCGTAAAAATCTTATTTACCCTTCCATTTGCAGACTGTCTTGATAAGCTAAGGTTAATTTTTGAAATCAAGTGAGTATTCTTATCATTTTTGACAATGGATTTCTACCCCTGAACTTGATATGCACACTTATTTTTATTGTTACCTTCCACCGTTTTACACGAATCTTGACACTTGCCTTAGGTGAAGAGACCCGATTACTAAGTGTTAGGTAAGTGTCTTTGGCATACCCTTTTCCGTTTGATACGAATCTCGACACTTGATTTGGGTGAAGAGACCCGGTTACTAAGTCTAGGGTATCCATTAACCTTTTATTCTTTCTTTTTTGAAACACTATTCAGGGTAGTCCACTGTCTCTAACAATTTGAAGAATTTTTTTGTCTAATTTCTCAATCTTTCTCTTCTTATCCTGTTAGGGGAAAACTTGGGAGTATTTTCCAATTTCTAAACGGTTTCGACAATATTCAAATAAGACCAATTTTGACTCCTATCACTTGTTACCAATTTCTACAAAATTTATTATTCTTCTATCAGTTTCCTCAACTTTTTCTGTTTAGGAATCTCTTTTAATGGAATGAATTTTAAAATTTTCAGTAAAATTTTAATTCTACATATTTAAAGGCTTAGCTTCTCATTTTTTTTTTCAAAAATTTTTTCTCTCTTTCCTCACCCCCTAACTTAAATGCCAATCCTCAATGGCACGACTAGACTGATCCTAAAAGGACTTGGGCCAAAGGGAACAATTAATAGGTTTTCCTGAGGGGTTCAAGGTCTACCAAACTAGTCTCGAATCAAGAAAAGAAAAACTCTAATCCTAACAGTAGAAACACTAAAAACTACATTGGGTTGCCTCCCAACCAGCGCTAAGTTTAGCGTC